TTTGAAATTGTCTCATTGCTATTTGTTTCTCAATAAAATTAATTTTAAAAATGAAAAGTTTTAAATTCTTCTGTCTACTGAGCCTATAAATAATGATATTCAAAAAGTCATAAAGATTTCATGGCCTGATGTGTTGGTAAAAATGAAAGTAAATTTCTATTCAGAAAAACACTCCAAATTAGATACCATTGAAAACTCAGAGACAGAGAAATGATTCAGAGCAGGTACAACCTTAGCAGACCTTTCAGTTAAGAGATGTACAAAGGAAAAACTCAGGTTTTTCTTTTTTTATTTTATTTTTCAGTCTTACACTTGATTGCCGCTAAATGGCTAGAAGTGATTTACTATCTTGAACGACATATTAAAAGGGAGATATTGATCTACTTTCCAGGTGGGACAATACCTTACTCCCCTAACTCTTCACAGTAAATGCTTAGAGTGTGAAAGTGAGAATTCTGGGTGATCTGTTATTTCAGTTAATCCACTAATCAAAACAAAGTGATCATGTAGCTCTCTAGTCAACTGCTCGTTGATCTGCAATGACAGATCTAAAAAAAGAAGCAGACTGACTACCTGATTGATTTGATTTGTTTATAGCCAGAGAGGCAGCCTTGACCTCTTTGGAATTGACTCAAACGTAATTCACAGAATTATGTGCATTAGCCAATAAAGACGAAATTTTATAATCACCTTTCAAAAATATGTCAGATGCTGTGCTGGTGCCTGCCCAAGTGCACGCTGAGACAGCGATTGAGACTGGGCATGGTGGCACGTGCCTGTAATCCCAGCACTTGGGAGGCTGTAAACAGGAGGATCACTATGAGTCCGATCTATGCAGTGAGACTCTGTAGTCCTGTAGACCCTGACCTAAAAATAGAAAGAAATAATGTCAGAAGGGAAAACAAAGGTAAACTTATTGGAAAAGAATATATTTAAATATACTTGAAAGCTGTAAAATAAGTATTCAAGGAGAGTGGAATAAAAATGGAATCTAAATATTATGTTATATATGCTATTTGCACTTTCCTTTGACATTTTTAAATATCATATAAAGAATGACAACTAAAATATTATGGTAATATAAAACAAAGGATTTAGACTTAGGCCAGAAAAGAAAACCCATAAACACACACAAACCTATGCCCATGCACGCATATATGTTCATAAAAGTCTCTGTCTCATTTAATTCAGCTTCCCTTTATTACATTCTATCAGTACATGTTAACACAACGTGTTGATTGTGTTTATTTTGGGAAGCTGCTACAGGCAGCGTGTTTTACTTTCTCCCATTACCCTCTCAGTTTCCTCCCACTCCTACGTGTCCCCTTTCTTGCTCCAAAAGTCTACCTTCTGGTTTCCTTTCTCTTCCCATTTACTTTAGCTTTTTTTTTCATTTTATTGTATTTAATCATTCATTTCCATAATTTTTTAGTGTCTTAATATAAGAGAAAAAAATGCAATATTTCATTTCCTGAGTCTGGTTTATTCACTTGATATGAAATTTCTAGTTCCATTCATTTTCTTACAAATGACCTAATTTCCTTCTATTTATGGCTGAGTAGTACACCACTATGCATACATATACATGTGTGTGTATAAATCTCATTTTCTTTATCCATTCATCTACACTGAGCAGTTAGGCTCCTTACACAGCTTAGCTATTGTGAACTGTGGTGTTATAAACATAATTAGAGGTGATGGTTAATTGTGATACATTAACCTAACTTGAATAAAGGCTGCCTAGAAGATTAGAGAAGCTCTGGGTGTGCTTAAGGATGACTGACATGTAGGCTGCACATTGAGGAGGAAACACCCACTCCAGATGTGAATGGCTCGAATCAATAGGCCTACAGCATGGGCACGATAAAAAAGAAAAAATATAAGGAAATATTCCTTCTTGTTCGGAGAAGTTCTGCTGTTTACCAGTGTTTTTGGCAACCTTCAACTTTCCAGTGTAGACCCTTCAACTGCCTGACATGGACTCACACTGGGCGCTGCGGTGCACTTCAGGCTTTCCACTTTCAAATGGATCTACTTCTTCTTTAACATGAAGACAGCCATTTAGCATTCTTCAACCCCTGAAGTTAAAGGTGACAATTCAAAACCTACGTAATGAAAACTTCATATCTGTCTTACTGTCTGTGGGTCTATCTATCTATCTATCTATCTATCTATCTATCATCACATATCTGTCATCCATCCATCATATATCTGTCTATCATCTGTCTATCTGCTTGCCTGCCTGTCTATCTATCATCATTTATCTCATCTGTCCCTCTAATGAGCTTTCACTGATATAGAATGCCTGTATTGCCAGGGGCTGATCATATCATCTGATACCTTGCGGTGGACAAGGGATAAAGAAAGACAAAGACAATATTTAAGAAATAAGAGGGCCAGAAAGAATCTACTTCTAGTGGACTGAATCAGCAGTCTCCATAGTTGACCCATATTTACTAGCAAGTGAGAAGCACGGGGGAAGGGATGCTCTACGTTTCATGGAACAGTGCCTGAAGTAATTGGGAAACAAAGGAATGAGAAACAAAGCCTTCTACAGACCCAGATACCTACATTCCTTAGGCTGTCCTCAGAAAATACTATCTTGCTTTTCTGGTTTCCAAACACAATAAGATGTTATTTCAAATGCCCTAATCCCCAACATGTAGCACTATATAGTGTCCTTAATTCTTGGAATGTGATCAAAAGTGCAACAGCTGGGCCAAATAGTACTTCTATGCTTAGACGTTTGAGGAATTTTATTCTTTTATAATGCCTTTACTTGTTTACATTTTTATTAACATGTACGAGGGTTTTTGTTTTTCTCACATTCTTTCCACAACTCATTGCTTTATGCATTCTTGATGGTAGCTATTATGACTGGGCCAATACAATCTCAATGTAGTTTTAATTTGCACTTCTTTAATGTCAGATATATGGCACATTTTTCTATTCTTTACCAATTATAATTTAATTTGAAAAGTACACACTCATTTTTCTCTGTGGTTATTATTTTATATGGATTAATTTAGATCCTTTGTATGTTCATATATTAATCATCTACCAGAAAAGCAGAGATCAGAGACTTTTTTCCCAATCATTGGAGAATGCAATGGTTTCTTTGATATGCAGAATCTGGTAAATTTGATGCATTCCCATTGGTCCATTCTTTTTTTCCCATAATTCTGTTGATAAACGAATAGCAATGAGACAGTTTCAAATCAAATTGGTAGGACAGTTTCAATAATTAACACATTGCACACATTCTTCCTAGTGGATAATTGCTGTACAAGATGTGGACATGATATCCTATTTACAAACACCATTAGAACAAATCAGTCTATTCATTAAGAGAATGTAACTATATATCTATCCTAACCATTTCAAATACACAGATACAAAATGGACATTCATTTATATATCCTTTTTTTGTTTAGTTCCATCATTTGAATATTATAGGTGTGTTAACTCAGCAAAATATTCTAAAAGAGTCCAGTAGCCTATAATAGTATTGGGTCTTCCGCTTCACTGGCAATGTCAGAAATTGTTGACCTGAGTCCCCTACAGCTCAACATAACAGCATGGCTTTACTCCTTATATTTCGTTTTATACTTTTCTGCTGGATGGTTAAGACCAAGGTAAAGCAGCACCTATTCAACGAGAGTTGTAGCTTTTGGGTCTGATAAGGTCAGTGAAATCCCCTCAGGACTTATCCTGAGATCCTGTACCTCAGATTGTAGAACTTTTGTCAGTGTCAGCCATGTGGATGAGTCACGGCCATTGCTTGGCCAATGTGCTCTCTGTGAAAGCCTGAGAGAGTGTTTTCTCTCTTTGTGACTCTCCTTAGGCACACTATACATCATTGATCACTTTCCTCTTTGGCCCCATAATCTCCTTCATCAGAAAATTTGGGACACTACCGAGGTACATGACATTACAGTACAAGTTCTCATATGTCCTGAGTCTTAATTGACCTTAGAAGGTTAGGGCCAAAATGTTGGCTTTCCTTGCAGCCTTTCTTTTTCTCTAATTTTGGTCTGCAAACTTAGGTTGTTAACCATCCATAAGACAAGCTTATTGTTATTCTTAATGTCATTCTCTGTGCTTTTGGAGTCCTGATCAGGAAGTTTGGCTGCACCTCAATTGTTTTCTCTTTGTTGTTTTCCAGAAGTTTCAATGTTTCTGATTTTGCATCTAGATTTTTGATCTATTTTTATTTTATTGGAATACAATGTGAGAAATAGAGATCTAGTATCAATCTTTTGCATGTGGATATCTAGCTTTCCCAGCACCATTTTCAAAAGCACAAGGTATGCTTCCATCCCCTTGGTCAAGAATCCACTGACTGAAGGTGCTTGTGTTTCTTTCTCCATCTCCTATTCCACTGGTCTACATTTATAGTTTTGTGCCAATACCACGTGGTTTTGGTTACTGACTTACTAGAACACCTTGAATTTTGGTGTAATGATGCCATTCGCATTGTCTCTTTGTTCAGAGTTGTTTGTCTATTCTTGAATTTTTCTATTCCAAATGAAGTGAATTTTGAATAGATCATGGGTATGGTGCTTTCTTTCGGTGGAGACTGAGATATGATTTTATGATGAATTTCCTAAGAGGGATTGGGGACACACAGTACACTGGAATCCTTCAGAAGTTTAAGGTCCACTACTTGTTTAGGAGACTAGGTTGGAATAGTATCCACTCAGAAGGCATCAGGAATGAGGCATTCCTTGGCCACTGTACCTTCAAATTCATCTATGTTGAATTTATGGAAGCACCACTTCTTGGAAATGTGGATCTTCAGGGAACCTTAATTCATTCCTGAGTAGGGCCTCTACTGAATAGGGCCACATATTCTTTGTTCTGGACCATGATAGAGATGGACATGATGAACTATCTGATAAGAACTAGGCCCCTGGGCTCCCTGAAGACATCATGTATGCCTATCTTGAGATTAGACTTGAGAAGACAGAAGACCAGATATACAACCACTCAGAAGGCAGCAGCATCCCTAAGGCCCCTTCAGACAGCCTGTACAAGAAACAGCCTGAACACCCTACCAATGGGGTTGCTAATGGTAGACACTGCACATTGTGTACCCACCAGCAAATGAACACCGTTGGCTTCACTGACTGCCACTGGGTCAGGTCTTTCTTAGGTTCATCCTTTGTCTCCTTTTCATGGAAGGAAGGGTATCAGGTGGCACCTATCATCCTCTAAAGAATCACCTGTGATTAAAGACAATCCTCAGTTTCAGAGTCAAACCTGTTTTGAGGGCTTCTCCCACCCAATAATATGGTGGCGAAAAAAAAAAAAAAAACTGGCAAAAGGATTGCACTACTTGTCTCATCTTGAGACAACTGTGAAGAGTTATTCTGGTCTCAAAGTTCCATGGAAGGTGGGTCAAGCTTTGAGACTAATCCACAACCCTAAATGCTCCTTTGTTCAATCCTGTTTCCTTCTCTTTCTGGAAGTATTGACCCAAAAATACTGTTAAATTTTTTTGCTTTTAAGAAACTATTATTTTAAAAAGAATATATTAATTTATAGAACTAGTACCCATTTAAAAGAACAAGATGAGGGGTGTACAAGAAAAAAATTAATTAAGGTTTATTGAAAGTGTTAGTATTTAATTATTTGACCTATCTCACCTGCCTGCATGATAGCCTGAACAACAGATTTGATGATAAAAATGTGTAATACGGAAACCATTGCTATATTTTGATTTTTGTTTTGTAATTCTGTACCATATCTATTTTTGTTTGTTACTCTGTTTCTGCTATTTGTTTTTACTCTTTCAAATAAAATTAAAACTAAGAAAAAAAGGTACTATTAAATTAACTGCCAGCATAATCATCTTCATCTCAGAGATCTGCTTCTTATAGAAGTCAGTGTTAAGGGCTGGGGAAAGAGCTCAGGGGCACAACGCCTTCCTGGCAAGCGCATGATCCTAAGTTTAATTCCTGGTTAAAAAAAAAAAAAGTCAGTGTCAAAAGTAATATGAGAACACACATTACAGGATAAGATTTTTAGAGCTGGGAGTCAAACCTTGCTGTGAATGAAAAAGTTTATGGCAAGTACAAAAGCATTTTAGGAAAATTAGTTGGTTAATCTGCCTTGGTAGAGAAACAGTAATTATAGTTTTATGAGAACAACCTATCATATACTTGGCTCTGCAACCTTCCAAGTAATGAGATAAAGAAGAATGGCAGAAATGCACCAGAGGAGAAAAATTATACATTTAGGATTTAGCCTGAGCATGACCAGAGACCTTAAATTAATTATATAGATAAGTATCTCAGATTTTGCACAGCTCAAAAGCACATCCTCTTCAGTTCACTTCATCACCTGGTCACTTTCTTATGATTAATGATGGTGGAGAAAATAATCCATGCTTGTTTTACTTATCAATGTGCTTAGCATACAGGACTAGATATAGAATATAGATAAAATTTAGGTTCTACTCTGGGTTAAAGTAAAAATTACCTGAAATTATACATATATGAAATGATTTGCAAAATGGCCAAAGTTTGAAAATTGAAGCATAAATGTCTTTATAACTTCATTTGAAGCCTATCTGAAAAATTCCATGATTGATGAGAACGCTTCAATTATTGGCATATAGATGGGTTTTAAATATGAACACAAAGTATAAAAATCTTTGTGTTAGCTGGATGTGGTAGTGCACACCTGTAATCCTGGTTCTCAGGAGGCTGAGGCAGGAACATTGTTGCAAGTTCTAGACAAGCCTAGGCTAAAAAGTGTGTTCAAGCCCAGCATGTTCAAGGCCAACCTGAACTGCATAGGGAGACCATGTCTCAAAAAAAATCTTTATATTGAACGTTAATGCTCATTGGTAATTATTCACCATGGAAGAGGCATTTTTTTGTATTTTTAGGGAAGTGTCTACAAGACGTTCAGGGTCTCGCTACTAGATCAGACTTGTAGTGATTCTCCTGTTTAAAGCCTCCCAAGTGCTAGGATTACAGGTGTGTATCACCGTGCCCAGTCTCAATTGCACTCTCTGCATGCCCCATGGACAAGGCCAGCATGGAAGGCCCAGGGATCGAACCTCAGGCCCCTGTAAATGCTTGCAAGTGCTTTAACACGCTGAGCTATTTGGCTGGCCCTGGAAGAGGTACTTAATAGCCAAGTAGGTAATGCTTTGTCTAGCTGGTATCAGCCATCCATTGTTATTCCCTCTCCACTTCTGGCACAATGAATGATCAGAATAGTGTGGTCTGGGACAGAGATCTAGTCAACAACATGAATCCCTAGTCATCAATCTAGTGTAGATACTGCAACTGATGTATGCCTGTGCTCTCAGCAGCATCATTTAAATCTAACTTCCAGATGTGGTCCCATCCCTCAAAGAGACAGATTGTCCCTTTTCCAATAGGTTCCCTTCTTGAAAATCCTTGGCTCTGGGCCTGTAACTATTTTTACGAGAACTGATGTATGTCTTATTAAGAGTTTTCCTTTCATGCTTGAAGAACCTCTTTTAGGATCACTTTGCAGGGATTTTAAAATTTTTGATGTACATTTGACATCCTAAGCAATAATATGGGCAAGGAAATTATTTTGATAAAGCAGTATGCATGCTGACATGGTTTCATATGATCATATGACATACCAACAACCTAAGATTAGTCAGTGTTTAAGAACAATGTGGTGCCTTGTTGATGGTATGGCTGGGCTTTATACAAACAAGCACTGAGAACATCTTCCTGGCAGTAAGCACACACTGATTCAAAGACAATGATGCTGCACTGTACTGATGACAGGTGAAATATGTGATTTGCGGAACTTCTGATAGGATCAGTGCCTAGGTGGCTAAAGCCTGTGTGACCTTTGGAAATTTGCTTTTTACATCTCCTAACTCTCTAGGTCATGTTTTTCACAGAAATAACACATCCACTAGGAGACTTAACAAGAGTCAAATTGAAGTGATTCTTTGTTTTGTTTTGATGTATTTGGTTGTTGGAGATTCTCACTCACAGCTTGGACTCAAGGTGATCCTCCTGCTTTCAGCCTCCCCAGCACTAGGATTACAGACCTGAGCCGTATGTCCAGACTCTGGACTGCCCATCCCACTTTAGGGCAGGACTGGTGTGGCACGTGGTGCTGGGGAACCATAGTCCCTGCACTTGCCTAAGCTTGCCTAAGCAGGCACTTCAGTCCACTGAGCTATCTCTGCAGCCCCCAAATTGAAATTTAAGTAACAATACTAATTTATTGCATGCCCAACTCTGATTTAGAATTTTCTTCCAAGAACATAAATCTTATAATAGAAACTTACTTGACTTCTCTTTTCTCAATTTTTACCCTTCTTGATGATGAATAGCAGTCCAAAATGAGTTTCCATGGTAACTGAAACAATAGACAATGAAATGCTAAGCTAAATACTTTATAGCATTTGGAAATTTAATTAGCTACTTGGTTCCCTTATTACTTTTCCTTCCAAAGGGATAAAGTGACAATTGATAGAATTTACTACTAACACAAATAGATTAGGCAATCTCTTTCTTATTCATAAGGGTAAATGAAATCATGAGAAAAAGACAACATTGAAATATTCTATTTCTCTTGATTACTGGATCCCACACTACCTGAAATACTTGAAGAGCAAAGTTTCACTTCAACATTTGCTTCAGTAATTCTAACTTATCCTTTAGGACTGAACAGTTAATAAAAATTGGCAGATCACATACAGTTCAATAACATGGTGGCCATATTTGGAAATAATAAATTTTGGAACTGAATGCAATTCTACATTGTTTGAAGCAGTTATTACAGTCTAGAAAGTGAGAAGTATGATTGAAGTTGAGTTTAAAATACAAGTTGCAGTCAATACTACAGAAGGAGAGAGAAGAAATTTTAGTAACGAAAGTCACATATATATATTTATGAGATAATAAAACTGTGGTGGTTCTGGATAAACTGATGGAAGATGGATTAAATTTACAGATGTAATATAAAATATATACATATATATATAATTTAGGATGAAGAAGGTCATATGTACAAATATGGTTTGGTTTGCTTCTGGCGCAGTTACATGGATTGCATGGAAATTCTATCTGGCCTGGGTCTTGTGTGGCCCATTGGGGACCCTGTTATTACTGCTGAAAACAAAATCTGTTGTTTATGTAGACATAATATTTTCAGTTTGCTTCCCATAGGAATTATGTTTAAATACTTGGAAAGGGAAAAAGTTTAAAAACTTGGACAGGGAAATTTGGATCTAGAATAATTTAGAAGCAGCCCCACTAGATGGCATGTTAATGGTTTCTGTGGCAATCCTTTCCAAATAAGGACGGAAAATGTATTTTTGGTCATTAGTTTTATTTTCTCATCAACATATTCAATCTCTGCTTCAACAGATTTCAGAGTCTATCTACAATAATCTGTAAGTAAAATAAGAGATTTTATGAGGACAAAGAAGATCAGAACCATGAGGTAAACCACACATAAACTTATAGGCTAGAATATTGACCAACCATTTCTTAAAAATCCAAGAAAACTTTAGCAATAGATTGGTCTGATACCTGTCTGCAAATGTACTTTATTTCTATGTCTTTGTCTTCTGGCCTGATAATCTATTTGCCTCTGTCTGTTTATTTCACTGGCTACCAGCTCCATTCAACTCAAGTACACTACTTTATACTTTGATCACTTTGTCTGGAATTTAAACAGTGTTCCTTTAAAAAAGATTCAGAGACAGAAGCAAAGAAAGATGCACAAGAAACATGCATGATGGTATGGTCAAGTGAGAATTTAAATACAGGTCTTACCTGCAATGACAGTACATACGTCCAGTAAGGTAGACTGTTAGCCAATGCTTATATTCATTTAGGAATACTAACATTTGATTTAGGACTAGCACCCTGAGACTTTACCCTATAATGGTGACTAGAACTTCAATTTGTCAACTTTTTATGTTATTGATTTTGCATATAAGTGAAAGGGATTTGTTGCTTTCTGAATCATGCCTTCAAGAGAAGTTATTCATCCTCCACTTCTTTTTTCTCTTTTCTGATTTCCAGTAAACAGACCTCAGAAATAAAAGCTGTGCATAGAACCCAGAAAATAATCCCTCAAATTCCACCTTCTTTCACTGTATCTCTGGAGTTCTATA